GTCCAAGCCTTTCGTAAATAGAAGGCAGGACCCACAGTTAGCGAAGGCGTGGGAAGAGTCTGCTGTAAATCAAATGATATTATACACGTGGAATTTTTCGCATTGTCTGATACCTCTTTTTTCAAGCTATCCTGCATGGCAAGTGCTCTCGTCTGATGAAGCTGCAGTTGTGTTTTAAATTTATTGAATTCCTCCAGGTTTTCTTTATTTGCTTCCATTTGATTATTAAGGAAGTCGCATGTATGACAAGTATCACTCTTGGGCAACGTAAATCCTATATTGTAATCAGAACAGAATATTCGTCTATACCGATCTTCTTTTACTGGTGCTATTCCACGTTCTTTGCACCACTCAACATAATAGTCCTTGTAGAGAGTAGATATGTTGAGGTCGTGGTTTAGAAAAACTCTATTTGGATTAACTTTCCGACTGTAATGGCTCACATATTTCGGAATGGCTTTAATATGGTCATGAACAGACTGAACTCTTTCTGCAGAAATTTTGTTGGGTCTGTTTTGATGTTTGCCCCTACCGTCCCTTTTTGGAGTTGTCCTGCCTTCAACAATTTGCTGAGCGATAAGTTTTAATCGCTTACTGGAGTTTTGAAGTCCATGGACCGATAAAAATTCAGTCTTACATATTTGAATGTCAACTCCATTTACTTTGACAAAATATTGGTTTGTTACTCGTCGAGCCGATTCCGCGCGTTTAGTTTTTTTTTGTAGCTTCTCTTTTTAGGTATAACCTTCACAGTAGAAAATAGATATGTATTCTGTTCGTAATACGAGTTCAAGTCCCAAAATGCATGGAATATAGTAGAAGCAGTTTCTTGGAGCAGTTGTCTGCAGTTCTTTTTGCACTGACATGGTGGACCTAATACTTTAGACTCTCGTTGTCGACCTTTGAAATCTATGTAACTGTGGCCAAGATTTCTGCGTGTTTTCGATTTCACTCTTGCTCTGCCTTCAATATTACGTTTTCTCCATCTCGATTTATTTGGTTTTTCTGGAGTAAACATCTTGCCTCTGCTTACAGCAACCTAAAAGCCATTTTATTGTTACAAAAAAACATCATTTGACGAATGCCTATTTCAGTTGATTATCATAATAATAACTAAAATTATTTGTGACAGTAAATCTCAGTTCTATTTTGCAAAAGTTATCGCTATTCCCGGATACTGAAAAACGTCACAAGACACAGACATCAATTTAGTTGGCGAAGAAGGGCATAAGCCACTTGCACAAAATTACATATTTTTATCATGTGTTCAGGAGTTATTTGCTGTTAAAAATGGCCTCTGTAAATTAGGATTACGATATACTCTGAGGAATGATTAGTCTGAAATCATAATCTAGTAATACTGCAGAAGTAATATTAAAAAATTGCACTCCTATGTGAAAAAAGCATAAGCCACATCTATAACGGCATTAAGGTCACAAGCCACAAGTTTATTTATTCACCTGAGTTTCTCGTTCGGAGTCACTGTCAGAACTGCTGCTAGTCGGATTATAGTCTCTGTCCTTTACACTATCATCTGATCCAAATTCAGAACCATCTTCGCTCTCCGAATCACTAAAACATCCATTATTTTCACCCGCGAACAATTTCCGCTTGGCGTCCATCTTGAAATGTATGTGGCTTATGTCCTTTTCGGCGTAAAAATTTGTAGACTAAACCAATCTGTCAAAAACGCTCTTCATGGATTATAGCGACATCTACCAGCGGATCATCAAACAAATCAACTTCAGACATAGATACCTACTCAACGAGTTCGCTCGTATGGAAATCTAATTTTTCATCAAAATGTGGCTTAGGTCCCTTACTGCCCCAAGCCCTTCAATTTATCTTTATTCAAGAGCGTACCATAGATATCACTACATTACATATTACCAGGTTACAATTCTTGATGAGTTGATTTCTCAATTTCTATAACGACATCATATCTAACCATTCATGGTAAGAGAAATCGTAGAATCAGAAGAAGTATCTTTGTGGTACATTCTAAAGTATTATGTGTAATCTAAAATTGTTGAAAACGCAACCAAATAAATTTTGTGGTAGATGTTGAAATTTTTTTTTACTAGCATCCATAAAGCATCCATCCTCCCGACAAATCCGTTCATAAGCTTTTGCAGTGATACAAGTTTCCCTTTTTAAACTCAAATAACTTGGCAACAGTGCAATTTAGCGTAGAACAATGACTGCAAGACGAAGGTTTTTGTGCAAGAATTGAGCCCAAATGACTTTATAAGCCATCCTTCCTTCTCCGAAAAACCGAAACCGTGTTTTTGCAAAACGACCAAACTAGCAACATTCTGTTCAGTGAGGAGGCGCAGTTCCACCTTCCAGGCGCAAAATTGTTGCTATTCGGCACCAGAGTATCCAAGGCAAAAACACGAAAGGCCCAAAAGTAACTGTATGGTGTGCAATGTCGGCTTCAGGAATTTTATCGGACCGAGAACGAACGTGACGTAGCCCAGACTGTGAGGGGCCGTTCAAGTATTACGTGAGCACTATGGGGGGCGGGAGGTCTATATGAAGATTACGTCATCGGTAGTTATTTACTTTTTTACACGAATGGCAACCCTCACATTGTCTTTGCTTGAAAACGAAACGCATTTTCGGGGATTCCCGCAAATAATGCATACGTTTAGTGAACAGCGCGCGGTAATTCCGCTACTTCCGAGTAGGGGAACTACCGCGCGGTGTTCACTTGTCTAAATTTCCTCTATCAGTGTATTTCGTTTGGATACCATAGCGAGTAGACGTATTGTAAGCATAGTAAAACAAGTTAACATTTGTGTTACCATTGATTCCATTAGCGAAAGTTTAATGTTTAAATAAGATGTCGTATCACATAGACAAATCCAAGTTATACCAAAAATTGTTTGAAAGTTTTAAAAAATCTCATACAAGTACGAAAGTACAAAATGTACAAAAGTTTGTTAACGGAGTATGGAGAAATTACAAATTACAAGCAACATCCGACAAGGAACTAGATATTATTGTACCTAAGAGAATCGAAGTAGAATTGCAAGTGGCGACTAAAAATAAATCCAATCTACCAAATTTTTTTTCTAAGGTGAGTGACGAAATCATTTTAGGTACCTATGAGTACTAGCAATATTAGAAATCGCCAAAAAGTTTCTCTTTACTGATTAGAAAATATTATGGCCTATCTCAAAGTATAGAGGTAATATTCATTATATTATAGATTTATTTCTTATGATTGATTCCGTCAATTGGTCACAAAGTACAGGATGTTAGTTTTATACATATATACAGAAAACTAACACCCTGTATTTTGTGACCGGAACGAATTGCTCGTTTAAACATATTAGGTTTAAAACCATTGGGTATTGTATTTACCGTATATATTGCCATACTTTGTATTTATGTAGCTTAGTAAGAGAATCTTTAGCAAAAGCCATAGAAAGTTTTTATTTTTAGGCAACCTGTAAACCTGCAGAAGAAACACAAATTATACAGTCAGCTTCAAATATTAAAAAAGAGGAAGAAGATAAAATAAAACCCGGTAATGAATCACAACCGCAATGCGAAATTAATGAAAATACAGATCAACAGAGAGCAAAACCTGCTCAGGAAGCTATGAAAAATAACATTGCTCTCCTCGAAAAAAATCTGAATGCTTTGTATTCTGCCAGAGATACTATGCCAAGCCGTGCTGACGTTGATAAACAGATCATTAAGTTGCGCGATCAAATAAAAACAGCAAAACAGTCTTTAAACAGGAAGGTTCAAAACGCAGTTGCCCAGAAAAAACACAGGGATGGTATAAAAATAAAGTTAGAAGATATTTGTCATGAAAATCCAGAAATAAAAAAAAATACTATCTCTGAGGGATTCAGTGGGACGTCCAAATCTTGAAAGCAATCAACATTCACTATTAAAAACAATCGCGGATATAGCTTTATTTGGGAGTGCAGCAGATGATAGAAGACGAACGCAATCAATTCGCAGCGTAAAAACTCTTGATGAACTCACACAAGAATTACGTAAAATAGGATTTGACATTAGTCGCAGTGGGACATATCTTCGTTTGATTCCCAGAAAATCTAATTCTGCAGAGGGACGAAGACATGTATCGACAGTCCCTGTTAAGCTCATTCGGGCTCAAATTGATCACCTCAAGAGCCACTTAGATAGCAAGTTCGCTGAAACATCATTCCACTATTTAGAGAATATAGCATCCATACTTGAACCAAATAAAGCATTTTTCATATCTCAAGATGATAAAGCTCGAGTCCCTATTGGCGAAACTGCGGCAAATTAGCAAGCACCTCTTCTAATGCACGTGGAATATAGAATCAAATTGCCTGATCATGATTGGGATGCTGGTAACAAACTCACTTCCAATATGCTAGGACAGCCGCAAGCCGTTGGATATTCTGGACCAACATACATCGCTATTCGAAGTGGAAAGCATAGTTCACCTACTGCTAATACTCATGCTCAGGATTTCGAGACGCTTCTCGAACTTGAAGAGTTTCGACCATTAGCTAAAACTGACCATGGACTAGTAAAACTAGTGGTAGTCACGGTTGGTGGAGGGCCAGATGAAAATACACGTTATCAAAAAGTTATAGGGTTTGCTATACAACACTTTAAGCGACATGATCTCGATGTCTTGTTTTTAGCTACCAATGCTCCTGGAAGAAGTGCGTATAACAGAGTAGAGCGCAGAATGGCTCTTAGTCGGGAACTGGCTGGTTTAGTATTGCCTCATGATCATTTTGGGTCTCATTTGGATGAACGTGGCGTTACAATTGATGAACATTTAGAAAGATCTAATTTCGAATTTGCAGGAAATGTATTAGCGGAAGTATAGAGTTCAATGGAAATTGATGGCTATAATGTTGATGCAAAATATGTTGGGGCAGGTGAACAGGATCTTCAAATTGTAAAATGTAGAAATACAGAATGCTGTCGTCCAAGAAGTGGCCTATTTAGATTACTAGACAATAGGTTTCTTCCACCACCTGTAAAAGTAAAACAAACAGTTGATGACTTGGTTTTGGATGAAGGAAGGCAATTTCTTAACCTTCCAGTCAATTTAGCTCTACGCTTAAGTGCTTCACTCAAAGATTTCCTGCAAATGCCCGACGGTAAAATTGAGGCTATCAAGTCGAATATGCAAAAAGTGTGGTCTTTATCATGCTTCCGTCACATCGAAAATATCCATAAAAAAGTAAACACGCACACTGATAGGAAAGTTAGACCTGTAAGAGTCGCTGCTCGGCGTGCTAATGAACTGATGTGCATTATTCAAAATTTAGAGCACCATGATGTTGAACGGCTTGATGAGAACGACGTAGACATTCCAAAATCCAACGAAAGCGAGCAAACTCACAACACTGAGCAGCAATCGAAGCAATCCAATGTCGTCGAGAACTTAGAATCATGGATTCGGGTTTCATGGACTGAAGACTGTTAATTTGAATTTAATATATGTACCAAAAATTTAAAATAAGTTTGTTATGTTAGTAAGATATAATACTTTTGTCCTTTACTCTATGTTAAATACCGTATCAGTAAAATATAATATCTATGCTAAATCTATTTTCTTATTTTTCAAATTATAATTATAACGTTATAATTATAATATTAAAAAAAACAACACATTAATTGACAAATGTTTACGTAAACATGGGGGGAGGGGGTAAGAGCTTTGCTTACTTTTGCTAACAAGGGGGATTGGGGGGTAAATAATTGTAATAAATCTGCTTACGTAATACTTGAACGGCCCCTGACTAGTGATCGTTATTCTGCAATGCTTCGAGAGTTTTTGGTATCTCTGCTACAAGAGTTTGATGGCTTTGATCAAGAAACATGGTTTCAACAAGACGGCGCTACCGCAATACGGCCCGGGCATCTATGGGAGTCGTTCGAGAATTATTCCCGGAAAAGGCCGTCTCTCGCTCTGAAGACCTAAACTGGCCAGCTAGGTCTCCAGATCTCACCCCATTGGACTTTCTTGTGGGAATACCTTAAAAGTTAAGATTAGTAGTTTTAAACCACATGAAAACGGCATTACAGGGGTGTTTCGATCGAAATAGGAGGCACCTCGAATATATAATTTTTAAAATATGAAATCCGCCTATATTGTGTGTATCTAAATTAATTTTAAAACAGTTTTTTATTATCTTTTATAAGGGGAAAATTATTCCTTGACACCAAGAATAAGGCGTGGAGAGACAAGTCTACTACCCTTCAAAACATTCTCTATTGGGCAGATTCAGCCTTACCTTGACATTACTGTCGTAGCTTCAAAGACAAAGTCAAGAGTTTCTTGTGAACTGTTTCAGATTTCACAGTTAGATATTCGAGGGAATTTGGGTAGGTATAAGTGAAAAGCAACGTAAGTATAAAAATTTAAATCTTTCACAAAGTTTATGTACAACAAAAGTAAAATATACACAACTACCCGAATATGCGCCTACTGTCCACTGGCTACAACAGATGCAAGGAATCAGACAATCGTAACTTTTTAAAATTTTACTGGGGCAACTGATTGTAATAGTAAAATTGACTACTTCACCCAAATACGATTTAGATCTTGGATTTAATTGAAAACGCAAGGTCTCTGAATTAGTTAATGAAAATACTCATAATTATACTGACTTCAGCAGTCCAGTGTGAAAAGCATCAAGAAGTGTTTATAGTAAACTCCAAAAAAAATCCCGAACTATAAAATACGAATGAACTTGGACTCCTATAAACTATTATGAAGGTGGAAGAAATGGAATGGAATTACCGTCTAACTGATAAAAATCTCCCCTCTGTGTAGTGGACAGTACAGTCGAAATGAATAAATACTCTATTTTCTAATTTGTACAAGAATAACAACATCTTAATACAAAACACTTAAAAAAATATATTGTCCATCTATAAAAAAACGCCAATGGCAAGTTCACACTATCACGAGAACGTAAAAATGTTTGATAAACTGAACACATGTAAAAATGGTCTATCCACAAACACACACGCACTTTTTGCTAAACTATGAATATTTACGAAAAAATTGCAAAATGTCTCAGAAGTGTACCGGCATCAGTGGAAAAAACAAAAGGTTTTACCAACTTAGTCGTATACACAGCGAAAGTAGTTACTAAAAAATCGCCTTTCCAAATTATTGACGTATCCGTTTTAGGTACCACCTTTTGTTTGTTATTAAATAGGGCCATCTGGTAGCTTTGCGTTAAGAGTAAGCGGAATCCCAAAATGACTGGAACTCTGCTAATATGTCATACTGACTGGATGCAAGCAAATAATTCTGCATCAGATATACGAGAACTAAAAGATGCATCTCTACATTTTGCAATTATTCCGTTCTACGCACGAACTGTGACGTCACTTCTATAAGAACATTATCGGTGGTAAATGATCCCCGCATTTCGGAAAGCCTTCTGGAACAGGTGGTAGGTCATGCTGAGTCCCAACATGGAATACCAGATTCATCCCGATGACTATGTGGAAAAGGAAGTGACAGTGGAACAGCCAGAAACCTGGAAAGGAAACAGAAACTGCTTAACCTCCAATCAGCCATAGATTTATTTTAAACCATTATACCTTGAACTTTTTGTATCACAACTAGATGTGTTTGTATACCCTCCGTTATATCCCTTACTCGTTTGAGTACTATATAACTTGTTTGTCTCTTGAGATCTAAGCAAGTGTTTCAAGCATAATGCATAATAAAAATCAGTGCTACGTCTTCAACAGAAAAGAATGAATTATAATTAGCCCCTTTGGTTCCGGGTCTGTCTTCTGATCTACGATGTTCTGTCTAAGTGCGAACAACTGGTTCCTTGTATGTACACTTAGTACCAGTCACTTCCCAGTATTTGATAATTTTAACCTAGCTTCTATGGGAGAAACAATCGCGACATCAAGAAAGACACAGGAGTAGCATCAAGGCATTAATTTGTCTTAAGTCTGGTTTTGTTTCTTCACTATATATCCAAAAATAATATTAATATGTTGGTAATGTTACGAGCTATTTACGCCTTCTTTCACAGATACATACTATGACTTGTAGTTTTGGATTGTCAAACTTTGCCTATTCGAGAAGCAAAACTAGCGGCACGCGGCTTAAAATGGCTCTAAAGTTCGCAGATATATAACAATACTCAAAGTTCCGCTTCTGACTGTAAAACCTCAAGAGCGAACTACTTTGGAACCAGCGATGGGCGGTTACGCTATAACTTTGTATACAGGGTGTCCCAGAAGTCGACGTCAAGCCGAAACCGGGTGATAGGCAAGGTCATAACCGCTATCAGAAAAATATTTAAAAAAATTTTATGTATGTGTTTTGAAAATTATAGGTCTTTGAAAAAGATATAGAAATTTCACACCCTACGGCAGTCTGTCAACTCCTGTTACTACAAATATTAACTTTTTTTGGATTTTATTTTTACAATGTAATGATGAATAATGCATCTTCAAACTGGTGTCTCAACCTTACTGCCAACTTTTCTCGTTCAGGAAAAATTGCCACTTATTTCCCAACCAAGTATTCCAAAGTAAAACTTTGCTCAACTTTAACTGCCTGTACTGGAAAAAAATGTACTACGAGAGTTTGGCAAGTAACCTTAAAAGTTGGCGCATTTAATAACGATTCCAAAATGGTATAACACTTAGAAGATTACTCGTTAACTTATGCACAATTTTTATTTGAAAAAAAACTGATGAACATTTTTCAAAATTTCCTAATTAAACACCGATTATGAAAACGCACAAGGACCCATAAGGATAACTGTTTGCACAACAGTGGGCGTCAAAATGCTGCTGATGATTATTTACCTTTACAGCAAATGCTCAAACTAAGTGATGTGCTTCATCCATACCACGTACAGCGTGTTCAAGCTCTTCTGCCCCGGGATTATGAGCCCCGAGTTGCTTTTTGTCGCACAATGTTAGAAAGACACAGGGAAGATCCACGGTTCTTTGAAAAAATTTTATGGTCAGATGAGACCACATTTAAGAAAGATGGGTACATGAACCTGCATAACTTACACGAGTGGCACGTAGCAAACCCACATTTGATGATAGAGGATAAATCTCAATATCGCTTCAAGATAAACCATTGGACAGGAATTTTAAATGGTAAAATAATAGGTTCGTTTGAGTTCCCAGAGACTTTGACTGCTGAGGTTTATTTAGGTTTTTTGCAAAATCATTTAGAAAATTTATTGAAGGACGTGCCACTGAGTATTTACAGGGTCATGTGGTTTCAGCATGATGGCTGCCCAGCGAACTATGCACTCTCAGTGAGAGAGTATCTCGATCAAAACTTTCCAGGCTGATGGATAGGGCGGTCTGGTACAATACCGTGGCCAGCCCGGTCACCAGATTTGAATCCGTTAGATTTTTTACTGGGGAACTGTAAAAGAAAAAGTGTATTTCAAGCCGATTCAAAATGTAGCTGAGCTACGGCAAAGACTATTGGAAGCAGGTGAGTTTGTTAATAACCGTGGATTCGCTCGTTTAATAACCCGATCTTTTTTAAGAAGATGTCGAGCGTGTATTGCGGCTGAAGGAAAACAGTTTGAGCATTTGCTGTAAAGGTAAATCATCATCAGCAGCATTTTGACGCCCACTGTTGTGCAAACAGTTATCCTTAAGGGTCCTCGTGCGTTTTCATAATCGCTGTTTAATTAGGAAATTTTGAAAAATTTCCATCAGTTTTTCTTCAAATAAAAATTGTACATAAGTTAACGATTAATCTTCTAAGTGTTATACCATTTTGAAATCCTTATTAAATGCGCCAACTTTTAAGGTTACTTGCCAAACTCTCGTAGTACATTTTTTTCCAGTACAGCCAGTTAAAGTTGAGCAAAGTTTTACTGTGGAATACTTGGTTGGGAAATAAGTGGCAATTTTTCCTGAACGAGAAAAGTTGGCAGTAAGGTTGAAGATGCATTATTCATCATTACATTGTAAAAACAAAATCCAAAAAAAGTTAATATTTGTAGTAATAGGAGTTGACAGACTGCCGTAGGGTGTGAAATTTCTATATCTTTTTCAAAGACCTATAATTTTCAAAACACTTACATAAAATTTTTTTAAATATTTTTCTGATAGCTGTTATGACTTTGCCTATCACCCGGATTCGGCTTGACGTCGACTTCTGGGACACCCTGTATATAAATGATAAATTTACTTATACCTTTTCTAATCGAGCTATCTAAGTACTTGCTATTGTATATATTCATTGTCTACATGAATATCAAGACATATACAACAACAACCGTATACGCGTATACCTATAATGGTATATTATACATGATGTGTATACAATTCGCCCGAACTAACATGGAAGAGGTGTGATTGGTATAAAAACTATGTATATTATGAAGAGGTTTTCAGCTGGTATTTCAGTTTAAGCTATGCCAAACAGCGCAAATGTTGACCATAGCTAGATAGAATCTATGGCTTGAAATCGAATATGACTTAAGTCAATGGAATCTCCCGTTTTTTTAGCTCAAAACAAACCATCTTTAGTACCTGGATTATCCGCCCTGAATCTCAAGATCACGTATCCATTGTTGGGTACTGCAATTGTGTCCTTCAACGGAGGCAACTTAAAGTGCCGGTGTAGGAGTCCTTTCCTGTCCAAATCTAAAGCGTGTTTCAAGTTGATCTTCTTTACGTTTTGGTCGGGGGATCTACCAATACCCACCACGTGGAATGAGTAGCCGTGAAGGTGGAATGGATGACTTAGGTTGGGAGATTGAACTGAAACAAAATTAATTTGTTAAATAGAAAAGTACTTTATCTGATACTTCATGCAGCAAGGAAAAACTGCGTCAAGTAGCTTATTGCGAAATGCTGCTATCAATTCATATAATATTATGTACGGTACAAGTCAACTCCTCTTAGAAAAAGACTACAAGCGCTCGTCCGGATGGGGACTGAGCGGTTTAATCGCAGCTGGCCAGATATGTATTCTGGCAGCGTGTAGCTAAGCAAGTTTGGCTGCGCTTAATGGCGCAGACCGTATGTTATGCTGAGGTATCGAATGCCTGTTGTTATACTCTGCTACCGAGAAAGAAGAGGAGCAGCAAAACATATCGCACGCCACTGCTGGCGCGGCATCCCTTTGAACTAACAAAATCGCTGCCGGCGTATCCCGCCGTATCACAAAAGAGATACCTCGTTTACAGTGACATGCGATAAGTTCTGCTGCTCCCTCCTTATCGGTGCCTGAGTGTAGTCGATTCAACTTTGTATGAGGCTGTCTGTATCAGTGTATATTACGAAAAATGCACCATTATTGAGAAATCTGTTGTAGTCCTTTCACAATAGAGCATCAAATCAACAAATGTAGGTACTTGAACTTAAATATAAAGAAGCAGGGTAGACAAGAAAAGCTGTTTGTACTTGTTGCCATGTTTGGATATTGCTCATCGTCAGATCGGTCCGAAGGTTCAAAGATATAGCATTAGGATGTGGCTTTCTGAGTATCTTATATCTGGTAATTTAGTAACAAAAAAACGAAAGTAGATAAAATGTTATGATATTATCCCAAACTATAAGGCAAAGGAAAAAATAAGAAGATAAGAAATAAAGAATTCAGAAAGAAGCTGAGGAAGCAATGATGAGTCTAAGTACTCTTTGGCAGTGTATTGAACTGATTTACTCAATTGATACATACCCTCGTCCACTAGGACCACTTCTACTATGGCATTCAGTGGTATGTCCACAGTATGCACGCACTGACAGTCCTTGCCGCAATTTGGGGGTCTGTTATCTCCATTGCAGAACATATCCTGGTCAAGGTCATCCAATTGAGACAGTGGTGGAGACGGTGGAAATTTGAAGGAGATTTCGTCTATCAAACTTATTACGTGGTCACCTCCGGGCGCAGCTGAAATGTGAAGGAATTTACTAAGTACAGTTTTGAAAAACTTGGAGAGAGTATGGAAAATAATGTTAATCTCATTATTATTTTCGTAAAAAAATCCCTAAGGACTTTCTAATATTCCTTCGCATTCTGATGTATCTACCTAAAAATCTGTTGTATGTGTTGGGCTTGAACAATTCTTCTGGTTTGTAGAACAAAAATCGGAAGGGTAAGAATATCTTCACATCTGGTCGTTCTTGCAGGATTGATTCGTCAATCTTCTTAGCATTTTGCAATTGACTCACACAAATGGCTTCAACCCTTGGCTTGTCGCATATGGCATCTAGAGGATTGAGTACCTGTAATATTGACTACTATTAGTTTCAAATCAAATTATATAAACTTAGCGGTATTGTTACATAATACATTGGATCCTGTGTATTTCAACTGTTTCATCTCTAAATGAAAAAAAAATAGCAGATGTTTTTGAACGGAAAGTGGCAAACAGGTTGACTAGTAGACAAGCTCAAGTAGAAAAAAGCTGGTCATGTTATGCTTGTTTCAGGACCTGGCGTATTCTGTAACAATACTGATAGTGATAGAAGTATCTCACATAGATAATCTACTTTTTGCTTGATATGGTAATCTGGCTATACATTAAGTAATAAGTAATTTTTTAGTTCACCCAAGGTACCTCGATCACTATCAACAATCAAAGCACATACGAGAAAGATACACAAAATTATCCCCACATATTATAGATAATGACTTTACACCAGTTGCAGTTAGTATACACAGACTTAGTAAATGTGTAGACCAAAAGCAGCATACCTTATTTCTTCTGATAAAAACATAGCAGCATGGAACGGGACATTAAGTTCTAAACTATTCTACTTTCATCAATGATATTTACAATTAAGCATATAAACAAAATGTTTGTACATCATTTCGTAATATTATTTTACATCAATTTTTTCTTAAGCACATGTTCTAGCATTGAACCCGATTTTTCTTTCATTGTTTTGAAATCAAATGAAAATTGTTACAAAATTTTTGTTGCAAAGATAATCAATAGTAAGAAGTAGTAGTGATGTTAATTTCACAGAGTAGTGAGTTAGCTAACAGGAAACGTTAAAAGTGCAGATGAAAAATATGTTGATCAAGCATCGTTTAATTCGAAGTTTAGTTTAATGTGGTTGCAGAATGTGTTAGTAACAACATAATAATTATTCCATGAAATGTCTTACCTTCGATGTGATACTTTCGAAATTCATGCCTGCACTTAGCTTTAATTTGTTTCGATCGGATTGGAATCATAAGAAGATCGGTCTTATGGAGGTGAGATGAAGGTCTGCTGAATAAATGCTTTATGACGCAGGTGTCTTACTTTAGTTTTGGCGCATCCAATATTTATTAGACAATATTTTTTCGAGAATCTATGATGTACTTACCTGAAAATGTGTACATATGTACAAATTCTACTCGCTTTTAAAGCAATAAAATTGGAAAAGGTTTTTTTCTGTATGTGGTTATGTACAGAACCAAACAACGTAAAGTAAATGTTAACGCGTAAAGCGAGCTTTGAGCTTTGATTTGATTCGACGTTTAAAATGGTCACCATGCTAAAAGTACTAAAAGTATTTTTTGCCTCTGGTGTCCTTCAAACAACGAATCTACAACTACCACTCCACTGCTGAAAATCACAAAGCCTATTTAAAAAAATATGACTGCAAATATGTACAAAATGACGTTTCCAACACCAAACGCAAGTATATACATATGAATCCTTTTATTTATATAAAATGTACATTATACAAAACAGTTAATCTCAGTTATAAAAGACTGTAAGAGACTAGGGCAATCTTAAATAACTAGAATCTATATTCAAAATGGTAACAGATCTCAACCAGTAAACAACTCTATTAGAAAAAGGTAACATGCAATAATTCTACTAAAAAAAAACGTATAAGTCTACGATGAGTATGAAAGAGTTGATAGTAATGTTACAAAACAGGAAATACTGAAACGTTTCATCTGGTATAAAAGATCCACAACATCGAATTTTTGAGCAAGATATAGAGTAATACTGATTTAAAGTTACACATTGCGATTCTTTTATACAAGAGGTATATATTTACAAGAGTTCGGACATTGTCGGTACTGAAGCACCAAAATTTACTCGGGTAGCTCGTGTGGAAGAAACATTTAAAAAAATATACACATTTATGTTAGAGGTAGGATCCTAAGAATACTTACCTTAAGTATTTATGGCGAAATATAGACCATTATAGATAAATAACATAAATAAAATCGGATGATAACAATAAGCAAGTCATAATTTTTGCAAAATGCTTGTCCTTCAAAATGGCAAGATGGAAGTATTGTCTTTCGCGGAAGCGTCTCCTACTAAGTACGCAAATTTGGTGAAGGTAACTCAAGTGGCGTCATCTGTGGGACCTCTGAAACTTATCCTAAGTCTAGCTATCTGAAGACTGTTGTAAAAATCATTGATTGTGTCTTTCATATTTGGAGCAAAACTAATGTGGGTATTAAATTCTCTCCGCCAAATTTTTAATCGTGTAGCAGCAGACTCAAGCTGACAGGTCTGGATATCCTTCGAGTATCCAAAAATGTTGCTTATAAGAAAAAATTTACTATTTCTCAAATACCCTCAGTCCTTGAAGTAGAATAATCTGTGAAGATTGCTTACAACATCCTTCAAACTGGACGCAATAGTAGCATGTGAAGGTCAAGATGCCTTTTAATATTTACTTAAAACTAACGAGCCTAAAATGTTAATTGATAGAACATAAATAAAAAACGAGTTAATGAACACCCACGGTTTCAGCCTATGGTACTGTCATTTATACAAATAAAAATGAGAAGTTATATGCTACGTAATATAAGTGACAGCATATCCAAGTGTGAGTACCTTAATTAAGATGAAGTATTAACCAAGTCATATAGATAGAAACATTTAGATACAGGGTAAAAGAATGACAGAAACTCTATACTATAGTTGTGTAATATTGTTAAATATCAACGTCCTAGACGAGTCGTGAAAATGGTAAATGATATCCTTCAGAGATGTAGATGATTTGAAAAGAGGAACGAAATATGTCTTATCTGTGAGAGAAAGATTTCAGAAAAATTAGCGGAAATGAAGAAGGATGAAAAGTAGGATAAATAGAAGAAAAATAGGAAGGGAGAGAAGAAGAGGTTAAAGAATGGGAGTAACAAAAAAGAAGAGGAAAAGGAAGAGAAAGTGCAAGGAAGAAGGAAAAACTTGATCTATATTACTGCAGAAACATCGTACAATAGCTAAAAAATAGGAAGTAGGGAATAGAATTGCGAAAGAGGAAAGCGGATAAGGCAAAGTAGAAATAACATCAAAGCTACCTAATGAAACTCAACCTACATTATTGCAGAAACATTACGGACCATGAGAGTTTATGAAAAAATGGAGGAGAGAGCCTAAAGATTGCATTTTGTCAATATCAGAGTAAACATGGAGCCGCCAACTAAAAGACAAACCATATAATAACTATCGAAACATAAAAAACGCCACGAGAAGGCAGTGACTGTGCATACTATACATTAAATTCTTATCGGGCATCTCAACCTTCATATGAGCTCAAGGAAATAAGATCAAACGCAGTTCATCACAATACGGATGCTTGAGGTATCCCACAGATCTATCGCATTATCTAAAATCTCCTACGTAGCTACACGTTCTATTTCTTGTAGTTCTTTATATACTCATTGGCTATGTCTAAAGAGATGTCCGGGGTGTGGTCGCCACACGTTGGGAACCTGGGCGGTACGGGGGTAAGTCACTTAAACTACCCACTTGGAAGATCAGGTTCATTCCTGCAACGATGAAATACATTTTATTCGCTGAGCCATAGCTTATATTTCAAAATTCAGAACAATGTATTGTGCGCTGAAAGTTAGGACTCAGAGACGACTTTCGGCTCCGTCAAATCCGATATGTAAACAAACAGCTCGGTTAACCTAAATTGCAAGTCCCAACTTTTAGAATGCCCTGCATTTTTTACTATTTGCGATCCAAGTACATGCACAACTACAGGGTGTCCGCAGAGTTGGGGTTTTTCTTTTCAGAAACAACTACCCTTGAAATAACAAAGGTAATGTGTAGTGAAACGAGGGCGACCAAGTAAAAAAAATAAAGGAAAAAGTACTCACTCTCCAGTTGACGAGAAGGGCTAAGTACGTCTCTGCCCGAAATCATACCGCTCCAACAGAAAATGAAATCAGCTGATGCGCTACCGAGCAGACGCAGGCAAACAAGGGAGGCAAAATGTTGCGTAATGACCAAACATGAGTGTTGCGAAAGTTATTCACCCCATTACGCGTGAACGTAGATTCGTCTGTCACCAATATGCACTTCAAAAAGTCCGGATTATTGTCATGTTGATGCAACAACCACTCACAAAACCGCACTCTTGCTGAAGAATCATCAGGTTGAAGGGCTTGTACACGTTGGACGTGAAACGGATACAGCCCCTCTTCACGAAGCGTTTGCCACACTTTAGTTTTTGATACTTGCACTTCTCTAGCCACGTCTATAGTGCTTGTTGTTTTTTGAATCGCAATCGATTATATGGGTTCGTTTACCTCTACACGCGTGACCGTAACCGTCGGTTGAAGGTTGCATACTGACCTGACACATTGACCCCGACCCAGTTCTGTCGTCGGGTTGAGCTAGTGTCCTAGTACCATTCGGAGATATCGCGGCTACAGGACGGTATTCAGATATTTTTGATGTTGCAGAGCCCTTTATCTCGGTTCCTTTAAGATATTGGTGTATATGGTACTAAGAAAAATTGCTTATGTTTTCAAGATCTGCACGTCGTGTAAAGGAAAACCCCAACTTTGCGGACACCGTGTATAATCGTATATCATAATAAACTTGTAAATTGACTGAAACGAGGAATCAAGTCTTTGAACGGTCAATGAAGTGCATGAAAAGGAAGGCAAAACAAGCATAATTTGATAAACCAAGCACTTACCTATGACTATGTGGAACAAGAAGTGGCAATGGAAGAGCCAGAATCCTGGATTGTCAGCTCTGAATCTAAGTACAACGTATCCGTTGTTTGGTACAGCGATGGTATCTTTGCCAGGCGGCAGGTTGAACTGCCTGTGTAACAGACCTTGTCTGTCGAGGTCCAAGGCGTGTTTCAAGTTGATCTTCTTGACGTTTTGGTCAGGTGACCGACCGATACCAATCACGTTGAAGGAGTAACCGTGCAAGTGGAAGGGATGACTCAAGTTGGGCTGTTGTACTGGAAAACAAAATATGACATCTAGTACGAAAAAAAAAAATAAGGATTGTGATCTAATACGTCACAATATTTTGTCTTAAAAATTTGGATGACGCCAAAAATGATATTTTTATGACGATAATTAAAAAACCAAATCAAACGGACGGCATTTTTATCTGAGATCAAGGTCAATTGAATTGCAAAAATAAATCTCTACGAGGGAGCCAGAAATGGCCTAAAACCATTACGATATTATATAACGTATGTCAGCGACTAAATATACTAAGTGACATATAAATCCGAACACCCAGTTTAAATGGTTTTATTTTAATAAAATTTTGTATAAGTACTTAATGAAGCATAATAAGTAAATGATAAAAATTTCAAAATCATTGCACTGCTTTAAAGCCCTTTGACCTTTAATAATGTGTGGATGCACCCTGATGTGCTACGCATTCTCCAACGCGCCTAGGCATGCTTCTGATCAGGTGGTCAATGTCCTCCTGTGGTATCTCATTCCAGGCAACCACCAACTCCTCTCGAAGTGCTTCTAGAGTCTGAGGAGGACGTTGCAAATTGAGCAATCTCCTACCCATCATATCCCACACGTGCTCAATTGGGGATAAGTCGAGAGATCTTGGTGGCCATGGTAACAATGTGACATCATTATGTTGAAAGAAGTCTATTGTGACTCTTGCAACATGTGGTCGGGCATTATCTTGTTGGAAAGTTGGATCTGCCAGGGTGTCAAGATAGGGTAAAAGATGGGGTTCTAGAACTTCGTGGATATAACGCTTCGCGTTCATGTTACCTCTGATGAAGATTAAAGGTGACCTGGAACCAAACTCCAACAGTGTGATTAACATGTCTTTCAACAAAAAACTGTGGATTCCTCCTTTCACCACGTCGCCTTCTAACCCTGACACGACCATCGTGCATGCCTAAACAAAATCGAGACTCGTCACTAAAGACAATACTGTTCCATTCCTGATCCCAGAGTGACCGTTGTCTGCACCACTCAAGGCGATTACGTCGGTGTTCTCGAGTTAAAGGGAGGACCCAGTGTGGCCGGTATGAAAACAAGCCAAAACTTCTCATTCGTCGGTAAACACTTCTCATGCCAATAGGTCTTCCGTGTTCTGCAAACCATTCATTTGCAATGGACCTGGTAGTGGAGAAACGGTCCCTTAACGCCAATAATCTTAACCGGAATGTCCAACTGATAAGGCTGAAAATTTTTTCACTTGTTATTTACAGTAAGATATATACATTCACCAACTTTTATTAAAATAAAACCATTTAAACTGGGTGTTCGGATTTATATGTAACTTAGTATATGATCAAACTTATTAAGGATTTTTTTTACAAACGTCCTGAAAATAAGCCTAGGGCTTCGTGCAAACTGCACCAAGAAGCATCTACCATTCAATCCTCGCGTTCTCAGGCATTCTCGGCTAGATTCTGGTCGAGGCTTAAGAATTCTACGATA